CATTGCTATTATAGGTACAAAGATTGATTTATTTCTTTGAGACCTCTCTAGTGTTCTTTTTTGTTTTCTGAGACAGAGTCTCACTCTGTTGCCCTGGCTAGAGTGAGTGCCGTGGCATCAGCCTACCTCACAGCAACCTCAAACTCCTGGGCTCAAGCGATCCTACTGCCTCAGCCTCCCGAGTAGCTGGGACTACAGGCATGTGCCACCATGCCCGGCTAATTTTTTCTATGTATTTTTAGTTGTCCAATTAATTTCTTTCTAATTTTTAGTAGAGACGGGGTCTTGCTCTTGCTCAGGCTGGTTTCGAACTCCTGAGCTCAAACAATCCGCCCGCCTCGGCCTCCCAGAGAGCTAGGATTACAGGCGTGAGCCACCGCGCCCGGCCACAATGTCCTTTTCATAGGGAAAACAAAAGTGTTCCCAGAAGCTCCCCAACAGATTTCCCTGTATATTCATTGGTCAAAACAGGGTCACCTGACCACTCTTACCTGCAAGGAAGGCTAGTACAGTGAGCACCCAGCTTTCCAGTGGGAGATGGCAAAGGAGAGGGGAAATGAATTAGCCAATCAAGGTGGGCAGGTGTTAGTCCCATTTTATTACAGGTGAGGCCTTTGAGGCTCAGGGTAGTAGGGCTGGGACTTGAGTCCAAATCTGAGATCCAGAGCCCAATGCTTGCCTCTATCATACCACATTGTTTGAGAGTGTCTTAGAATTAACTCATTCAATAAATACACACCACGTGCCTTTTTGCCCTCATGGACCTTACCTTATACTGGCTGTGATTAATTTGATGAATTCATCTTATTTTTTTAAAAGATCCACATTTCCGTATCTTCTTTCTTTTTTTTTTTTTTTTTACAGATAGGCCCAGGCTGTAGTGCAGTGACACTATCATAGCTCTATCATAGCCAACAAATAGTTGGCACCTCTAGTCTTAGATTTCCCTTATTATTTTCATAGTGGGAAATCTATAGGTTTATCAAGGTGAAAGAATGTATAACTTTAATTGCCTAATAAACTGTTTGATTCAGAATCCACCTACCTGCTCACGATGATGAGAGAAGCTGCTCATTGAATAAGGTGACTCTCAAAATGACTAAGGAGTTTGAAAACAGGGAGAAAAGATTTTTTTAACAGGCTTTATTTTTTAGAAGAGTTTTACGTTCACAACAAAATTGAGCAGAAAGTACAGAGGGTTCTCATGTACCCACTGTCCCCACACGTGCACGGCCTCCCCCACTGTCAATATCCCACACCAGGATGGTGCATCTGTTATAATCAATGAACCAACATTGACACATCATTATCACCCACAGTCCACAGTTACATTAGAAGTCGGTCTACATTCTAGGAGTTTGGACAAATGTATAATGACATGTATCCACCATTATAGTGGATAAGAAAATCGTCTGTGTCCTGCCTATTCATCCCTCCCTTCCCCCAACCCCTAGCAACCACTGATCTTTTTACTGTCTCCATAGTTTCGCCTTTTCCAAAATGTCACATAGTTGGAATCGTACAGTAAGTAGCCTTTTCAGACTGGCTTCTTTTGCTTAGTAATATGCATTTAAAGTTCCTCCATGTCTTTTCATGGCTTGATAGCTCATTTGTTGTTAGTGTTGAATAATATTCTGTTGTCTGGATGTACCACAGTCTACTTATCCATTCACCTACTAAAGGACATCTTGATTACTGCCAAGTTTTGGCAACCATGACTAGAGCTGCTATAAACAACCATATGCAGGTTTTTGTGTGGACATAAGTTTTCAAATCCTTTGGGTAAATACCAAGAGGCACAATTGCTGGATCATATGGTAAGAGCGCATTTAGTTTTTGTAAGAAACTGCCAAACTGGCTGCCAAAGTGGCTGTACCATTTTGCATTCTTAGCAGCAATCAGTGAGAGTTCCTGTTGCCTCACTAGCATTTGGTGCGGTCAGTGTTTGGGATTTTGGCCATTCTGACAGGTGTATAGTGGTATCTCATTGTTGCTTTAATTTGCAGTTCCCTGATGACATATGACATTGGGTGTGTCTTCGGATGCTTGTTTTCCATCTGTGTATCTTCTTGAGTGAAGTTCAGGTCTTTCGCCCATTTTTTAATTGGGTTGTTCATTTTCTGATTGTTGAGTTTTAAGAGTTCTTAAACAATCCTTTTTCAGATACGTTTTTCATAAATATTTTCTCCCATTCTGTGGCTTGTCTTCTCATTCCCTTGACAGTGTCTTTTGCAGAACACAAGTTTTTAATTATACTGAAGTTCAGCTTATCAATTATTTCTTTCATAGATCATGCCTTTGATGTAGTATTTAAAAAGTCATCACCATACCCAAGGCCATCCAGACTTTCTGCTATGTTAACTCGTAGGAGTTTTATAGTTTTGTATCTTACAGTTAGGTCTGTGATCCATTTTGAGTTAGTGTTTGTGAAAGGTGTAAGGTCTGTGTCGAGATTCATTTTTGTGTGTGTGGATGCTAGTTGTTCCAGTACCATTTGTTGAAAAGACTGTCTTTTTTCTGTTAGAATGCCTTTGCTCCTTTGTCAAAGTTCAGTTGACTGTATTTGTGTGGGTCTATTTCTGGGCTTTCGGTCCTGTTCCATTGATCTATTCGTCTTGGTAGTTTTTTTAGAAGAAATTGTTACATATAATAGAAATGAAAAATAGGCCAAATAGACTGTAGATAGAAGCAGATACTCTCATTTCAGATGCTTAAAAAGAAAAAAATCCACGATACAACAGAGGCAGAGAATAAAGTTTAGCATAATGATGACACTAGTAAAACTGTTCTAAAATGTCTTTTTCTGTGCCACATAGATTCCAGCAAAAATTGACTCTTTTCTTAGATAACATATACCTTTCCTCTGTACATACATACTCTCTTCTTCTTTTAAGATGTAGTAACATCAGAATGTCAGTCACTTTACACATGAAGATAAACTAACAGAGCTAGAAATTCTACCTTATCTTGATTTCGCATTAGTTTCTAAATGTGTAAAAAAACCATCTGGGGGCCAGGCGTGGTGGCTGACACCTGTAATGCTAGCACTCTGGGAGGCCGAGGTGGGTGGATCACTGAAGGTCAGGAGTTTGAGATCAGCCTGAGCAAGAGTGAGACCCCATCTCTCCTAAAAATAGAAAGAAATTATCTGGACAACTAAAAATATATAGAGAGAAAAAATTAGCCGGGCATGGTGGCGCATGCCTGTAGTCCCACGTGCTTGGGAGGCTGAGGCAGAAGGATTGCTTGAGCCTAGGAGTTTGAGGTTGCTGTGAGCTAGGCTGACGCCACGGCACTCTAGCCTGGGCAAAAGAGTGAGACTCTGTCTCAAAAAAAAAAAAAAAAAACCATCTGGGTGTGTGGTGAAATTCTACAGGTACAAACCTGACATACACCTCAAATTTGCATTTACTTGGAAGACAGTGGTGAGGATGATGAACAATAGTAAATCTTTAGATTTAGAGTAAAACGAGAACGTTATATAGGTTCTGTGAAAATGGTTAATTGGTTAATTGATAGGTTGGTTGGATAATGAAGTGAGTGAATCATTAAGTAGTAAATACCCTGCCTTGTTCTAAAAAGGATTTAAGACCCCTGAGGTTTTCAAATTTTCAGGGCCTAATGAAGCCTCATGTGACAATTTCTCTAGTATTTTCAAACAGAAAAATATTACTGTTGATTCTTACTTGTCATTAACTACACACGCACCTTTCTTAGTAAGGCATATGACATTATTCAGACAAAGCTTCTGTAGAGAATAAAATCTTGCCTAATTTTAACCCCCACTTTCTTAGAGAAATCCCCTTCTGCCACTTGTCATCATGATCCTTTCCAGATCTATGATGCTTGGACACTGACTGGCCACGTTAGGTCATGTAATTAAGAACCCCTTTATTCTTTCAAGTGAGATTGTGTAGGGTATTGAGTAAGAATATGGGCTGGGCTTTGATCCTGATTTCTTGAGTCCACATCTTACTATCTTCCAGTTTGTGAACTTGGGCATATTACTTAACTGGTCTGTGCCTCAATTTCCCCATGTTTAAAATGTAGTTAATAATAATAGGCCGGGCCTGGTGGCTCATGCCTGTAATCCTAGCTCTCTGGAGGCCGAGGCGGGTGGATTGTTTGAGCTCAGGAGTTCGAAACCAGCCTGAGCAAGGGTGAGACCCCGTCTCTACTAAAAATAGAAAGAAATTAATTGGACAACTAAAAATACATAGGAAAAATTAGCCGGGCATGGTGGCGCATGCCTGTAGTCCCAGCTACTCGGGAGGCTGAGGCAGAAGGATTGCTTGAGCCCAGGAGTTTGAGGTTGCTGTGAGCTAGGATGACGCCACAGCACTCTAGCCCAGGCAACACAGTGAGACTCTGTCTCAAAAAAAAAAAAAAAAAAAATGTAGTTAATAATAGTAATCAGGCCAGACACAGTGGCTCACACCTGTAATCCTAGCGCTCTGGGAGGCTAAGGCGGAGGATTGCTTGAGCTCAGGAGTTCAAGACCAGCCTGAGCAAGAGTGAGAACCCTATCTCTACTAAAAATAGAAAAAATTAGCTGAGTAACTAAAAATAGAAAAAAAAGTTAGCCAGGTGTGGTGGCACACACCTGTAGTCACAGCTACTTGGAAGGCTGAGGCAGGAGGATTGTTGAGCCCAGGAGTTAGCGGTTGCTGTGAGCCAGGCTGACAGCACTGTAGCCTGGGCAACAGAGTGAGACTCTGTCCCCCCCCCAAAAAAAGTAATCATATCATAGGAATATGAATGTGTATATATGTGTGCTTTAACTTAGAAAGGAGCCTGTACATGGTAAGTGTTCAATAAATGTTAGCTGTAATTATTCAATAAATAGTTATTGAGTGCAAGACCCAGGCAATATGCTGATTACACCATGAACAAGATTTGATCTGTGCCCCCTTTTTCGCAGAATATGTTTCCTGGTGCTTAGGCCATATTAACATTTGCTATATTCATTTGAGTTTGGCATTTTTTATTTCATTTTATAGTTGAAAGCAAGTGATTTTGCTGTCCTGAAGCAGTTGCTGCCTCTGTTGGAAAAGGTATCCAACACATACCCTGACCCTGTCATCCAGGAACTGGCTGTGGATCTCCGTATCACCATCTCCACCCACGGAGCCTTTGCCACTGAGGCTGTCAGCATGGCCGCCCACAGTACCCTGAACAAGAAAGATCCAGAAAGGAAAATAGAAGAGCAGCAGCAAACCAGTCATGAAAGCTACACTGATGTAGCTCAGAGCCACCTCAAACAACAGCAAAGCCATGAGAAATCCTCCCAAACAGGCCTGCAGTCGAGTGCTCCATTCATTCCTAAGGGGGTCAGTGAGGCCAGCACTGCGACAAACCAGAAACCTGCGAGCATAACCACAGAGCAGCTCCAAGAGGTTCTTTTGTCAGCTTATGATCCTCAGATTCCAACACGGGCTGCTGCCCTGCGGACTCTTTCCCGCTGGATAGAACAGAGAGAAGCAAAAGCCCTCGAGATGCAAGAGAAGCTTCTCAAGGTAAGTAGAACGCACTATAAAGACACATGGGCTCGGAGAGGGGCAGCTGTCGGGAGCCATTAATTCAACTCAAATATTTTTGGAGCCTTGGCTATGTGTCAAGCACCATCCTTGACCGTCCTTTAGAAACTTACAATTGTTCTGAGGAGGTAACACTTAGACACAGGAAAGATTAGATGACCACATGAGACTACTCAGTTGATATGAACAAACTGCCAAAATTTTCACATGCAAGAAATGCTGTGGACAGTCAAGAAAAAGAGAGACTTGAAACCTTCTGGAAGATGTAGATCTTAACATGACCTCAACAGATGAGTAAGATGAAAGAAAGGTGGGGGCGGGGTGGGACAGTGTGAGCAAATTCCCAGAGATGGGAGAGTGCCTTTTGTGGTAAATAAGTCCATTTTCAGCAGTGTGACCTTGCCCAGGTAAGCCACCTGGGCTTTCTCTGGGTCCCTTTTGAGAGGGGCATTGGGCAGAACTGGGTCTCCTCCCCCTCTCCCTTCCTCATAGTGAAAAAGCTGTTCTTTAAATTATAGAATTATGGGGGAATATATTAATATATGCTTAGTCGGAGATCTCTTCCCTTTTGTGGAAATTGTCCTGACCTCAGTATGGGTTAGAGATTAAGAGCAGAGGGAGGCCGGGCACAGTGGCTCACACCTGTAATCCCAGCACTTTGCGAGGCCACAGAGGGAGGATCATCTGGAGCCTGGAGTTAGAGATCAGCCTGGGCAACATAGTAAGACACCATTTCTAAAAAAAAAAAAAAAAATTAGCCTGGCTTGGTTGCACATACCTGTAGTCCCAGCCACTCATCAAGAGGCTGAGTTAGGAGGATCATTTAAGCCCAGGAATTTGAGGCTGCAATAAGCTATGATTGCAACACTGCACTCCAGCCTGGGCAAGAGAGTGAAATCTTATCTTTAAAAAAGAAAGAAAGAAAGAGCAAAGGTTCTAGAGACTACTACCTGGGATCACATCCCAGATCAGTTCCTTGGACAAGTCACTTCAACTTTCTGAGCCTCAATTATGATGATGATGGTGATGATAACAACCTCTTCTATATGCCTTAGCCATTAGACTAAGAATTACAATTCTGATCAAAATCATTTATTTTTAATCACTAAAGTATTAGAACCAATTGTATAATAATAACTGCTATTTATTGAGCCAGGCCATATACCTTATAGATATCATCTCTAATCCTCACAACAAGTGCAATATTGGTATTACCCCCATTTTATAGATGAGAAAACTGAGACACAGAGATGCACCAAGGATTTGCTGTCATTAAAATATTGCTGAAAACCTCAAATATATATCTTCTTTGAGTAATTATTAAAAATATCCTTTGATACACCTATTTAGAAAGTGAATGCTATGAACATCTTTAGAATTTTCTTCAACTTCATTTAATCTTTATCTGCCATATATAATTGGTCACCAAGTCTTGGCAATTATTTTTTCCAAGAAGTCTTTCAGATGTATCTCATCGTCTTTATTCCCATGGCCACTACCCTGGATTAAGCTTCCCTTACTCCATACGTGATCTCCACACCTTTCAATCTGGCCATCTTCCTAAGTGGACTAATTTTAGCTTCTCCCTGACATACTTAAGATGTAGAGACCAGCAGTGTCAAGTTGATACCAAGAATCGCTGTGCCAGCAAAAGGCATGGCATTATATATGGCTCAGACACCACTTCTTCCCCTAGACACCAAGCAGGAGGAACATGGGCACAGTGCCACTGTCTTTCTTGGCTCTTGCGTTGGGGCCTAAGCCTAACATGTCACTGTACTATCTTCTCGATAAGCACTAGATAACCCACTGCTGTTGACACTCCCTGGTGGGTTACTAAATTGTGAGAGATATTGAGAGTAATTTGTTACTAATGTCCATTGAAGTGCTGAAATATTCAAGGTTTCAAACAATAAATTAGAACAGATTCAAAGTTATCTCAGTAACGACATCTCTGTCTCACTTGCATTTCCATATGCTTTGTGAGTGCAAGAAAAAAGGATCCGATTGCAGCAAATGTGCCATCGTTTGCACATAACCCCAAGCCTTGCCTCTTGTGTGTTATCACACCCTGTAGCTTTCATGCCATATGTGGGAATGTTGTTCACCTTGGCTGTAGTGGAAAATTGTTGAGAATTGTTCTTCCATTGGTTTCCATAACTACTGCTGGTATATACTTGACTACTTCAAAAATATAGGTATCTCCCTTAATTCCTACCCTTTTTTTTTAACTATTATAAAACTGGGACTTTAAGCATATATACCATTTTCCCCATAAGACTCTAAGTCAGACTGGCTTTTAGCTAAGACAAACAAGAAGAAAAGCATTTTACTCTTTGAGGCTTCTGATAAGAGGGTCTCTTAAGTCTTCCTTGCTCTTTGTGAATCTTATCATTGCTGTATTTTGTCATTCCAGATATTCTTGGAGAACTTGGAACATGAAGATACTTTTGTATATCTGTCTGCAATTCAGGGTAAGTTAGTCCTGGTAAAGGACTTTGAGTCTGTGGACCAAAGATTATATCATGTTTGCACAAAATCTCTATAGTCATAGAGCCACAACACTGCTGGTCAGTTTATCCATCTCTCTGCCTCCTAGTTAAGACACTTTAAGTCGTAATAATAATATTCCTGGAGGGTTCCCAAACGGTCCTTATAGAGTTTCAGTGTCTCATCATGATGAGGAAGTTTTTATTAATGTTTACTTACCATTCTGTAGATCAAATTCCATTTCTTCTAATTCAAGGAGGTAAAGAATAGCTGACATATGAGCTCTTATTACATTAACCTTCTGTGTTACTTGACTTCTGTCTGTTTGCACCTTTGCTCTCACTTTAAGCTAAAAGAATCTCAGGGTATTTAATAATATTTTTTCATCAAAAATTTTTTTGCATTAATTTTATTTCTCTTTTTACAATTCTTTGTTGTTCTCCACATCTCGATTAATTTGTGGATTCCAAATCTAGAGAGGGTGCAGAGAATTAGGTGCCCTCCCCAGACGTGGTGAGAAGTCAGAATTAACTCAGTTTCCCTTGGCTCTGTCAGTGTGGTGTAGTCGCTAAGAGCTGGGGTTCTGGAGGCAGACCACGTGGGTGCACCGCCCCACTCCCCCGGTTCTCAGCTATATGGACTTTGGCAAATTACTTAATCCCTGTGGGCTTTAATTTCTTATCTCTGAAAAGGGGACGAAATGGGAATGTAAAATGGTATAGGCACTTTGGTAAACAGTCTGGAAGTTCCTCAAAAAGATAAATGTAGAGTTACCACTTGGCCCAACAATTCTACTCCTAGGTATATACTCAAGAGAAATGAAAACATATGTCTACACAAAAGCTTGTGTGTGAATGTTCACAGCAGCATTATTCACAGTAGCCCAAAAGGTAGAAACAACCCATACATCCATCAGTTGATGAGGGGATAAACAAAATGTGGTATATGTACAATGGAATATTATTCAGCTTTAAAAATTAAGTACTGATACATGCTACAACATGGATGAATCTTGGAAACATTATATTAAGTGAAAGACACTGGTCACAAAATACCACATTTTGTATAATTCCATTTATATGAAATATCTAGAATAGGCAAAATTATAGAGACAGAAAGTAAATTAGTGATTGCCTAGGGCTGTAAGGGGGTAATTGTTGGGGGTGATAGCTAAAGGGTATGGAATTTCTTTTTGGGGTGATGAAAATGCTCTGAAATTGATTGTGATGGTTATACAAGTCTGTGAGTCTGCTAGGAACCATTGAGTTGTATACTTTAAGTGGGTGAATTGTATGACATATGAATTATACCTGAATAAAACTGTTACTAAAAAAAAATCATGCAATTTAATAAAAAGGGGGAGGGCTGGCTGGGTGTGGTGGCTCACGCCTGTAATCCTAGCACTCTGGGAGGCCGAGGTGGGTGGATTGTTTGAACTCAGGACTTCGAAACCAACCTGAGCAAGAGCGAGACCCCGTCTCTACTAAAAATAGAAAGAAATGAATTGGCCAACTAAAAATATATAGAAAAAATTAGCTGGGCATGGTGGTGCATGCCTGTAGTCCCAGCTACTTGGGAGTCTGAGGCAGTAGGATCGCTTGAGCCCAGGAATTTGAGGTTGCTGTGAGCTAGGCTGACGCCACGGCACTCACTCTAGCCCGGGCAAAAGAGTGTTTCAAAAAAAAAAGAAGGGAGAGGGCTGAAACTGTCAGAGCCCAAGGAGATAGGATGACTAAAAGTAACGTGGTAGATGGGATCGAACAGAAGAAGGACATTTGGATCCAGGAAATCCAAATAAATTATGGCCTTTGCTTGATAATAAAGTATCAATATTAGTTCAGTAATTGTGACAAATATACCATACGAATTAAAATGTACATAATAGGGGCAACTGGGTGTGGAGTACAGGCAGCCCCCAAGTTTCAGGTGACCCAACTATGGCATTCTGTGCTTACAAACAGGTTCCCAAGGCTCCCCAGAAGGATGATTTGTGATTAAATAATTAAATTAATAATTTGGGAACAAGTTTCTTCCACGCATGTAAACAAAGCTGCATGGAGTAAGTGGTTCGTTGGCGCAGTATCTTTGTGCTAGCGGCTAGTCCCATAGATAGATAGAGGAGCAGCCGATAGAAACACTAGAACGTGAAGAATCAGAAGATCCAGAGCCAAGAAAGTTTATGACAAAGGAACTAGCTGAAGCCTTTTGTCTCACTGAAGCAGGATTTGCTAAGCTCGAGGAGCAAGATTCTAACACTGAGCAGTTTATAAAGGTTTACCGTGCAGTTAGTGAGAACATCAGCTGCTACAAGGCCATTTATGATGAAAAAAAGAAAAAGGCTGTGCAAACAACCCTAGGTACCTTTTTCAAGAGACTGACTTGAGTGGTCAGCTCCCCTCCTCCAGCGACGGAATCAAACCCTGATCCCCTAGCTCCCACTCCAGCCTCTCCAGTACCATCTCCATCATCATCTTCTCATTAATGTTAGCCCACCTCATTGCCTCAAAAATGCCCCTTCCAGTAAGCAAGACATTGATGCAACATTAGGTGAGTGTTAACCTTTAATATTCACTTTTGAAATTTCTCTTACTCCTATCTAAACATTTTTTTTTTTGGTGAGATAGGGTCTTGCTGTGTTGTCTGAGCTAGAGTGTAGTGGTATCTTCATAGCTCACTGCAACCTCAAACTCCTGGCCTCAAGCGATCCTCCTGTCTCAGCTTCCCGAGTAGCTGGGACTACAGGCACACTCCACCACATCCAGCTAATTTTTCTATTTTTTGTGGAGACAGGGTCTCACTCTTGCCCAGACTGGTCTTGAATTCCTGGCCTCAAGCAATCATCCTGCCTCAGCCTCCCAAAGTGCTAGGATTACAGGCATGAGCCACCGCACCTGGTCTAAACTTTTTGTATGAGTTTAAGTTCTGTTTGCTTGAATTGAAAGAAAGAGCACAATAGTTTCTGTAACTTATTATTACAGTACAGGAGTATTATTATTATAATATTATACTCTATTATTATTACCACATATGAGCCATTATAGTATTATTATTATTATTGTTATTACCATATATGCACTCTTCATCAGGGATCTGAGTTCCTTACAGATCCGACCTAAAGACATTCTTAGGAACGTATGTCATCTGTAACCTGGGGACTGCCTGTATATGGAAACTCTCTGTATTATCTTCTCAAAAATTCTGTAATCTAAGACTATTCTATGATAACAAGTTTATTTATAAAAGGGGGGAGCTAATATTAGGATTAAATGAGCTAATACCTTGAAAGTGCTTAGCACATAGTGATCAATGTTCATTATGTTAGCGACTATTATTTTAGTGTTATCATCATCATAATCGTCACTATTTCTTGTACTGTTAGATTACTAGGCAACAATGTGGTGATCTGTGTAACGTCTCAAATCTAAAGCTTGAGTAGGCCAATTCTATCATTTAGTCATTGCTATTTAACAAACTACCCCAGCACTCAGTGATGTAAAACACCAATCATTTATTATTGCTCACGTGTCTATAGACCAGTGAGGTTCTTGGCTGGGCTTGGTTAGGCAGCTCTGCTTTTCCCTATGGGTTAGCAGGCCAGGTGCAGTGGTTCTGCTGCATGTGGGCCTGGTCCTCCCTGGACCAGCGGCATATCAGGGCATGTCTCCTCATGGTGATGGCAGAAGTGTCAGAGAGAAGCATAAACTAGAGGCTTCTGCAATCCTAAGCTTGGAGCAGGCATCTGTCACTTCTGCCTTATTCTGTTAGCTACAGCAAGTCATGTGGCCCGACCCAAAAGTCTAAGGGGCAGAGAAATATAGTCTATTGCTTCAGTGGGACAAACTGCCAAGTCATCATAGCAAAGAGCATGGCTGTAGGGAGGGGTAAAGAATTGACACCGGTAATGCAGTTCTTCACACTGATGTGTTCTGTTTACCTTCCAAAGGCCAGGTTCTCAGTGGGCACAGAGGCCTGCGCAGTTCTTACTGGCTAGTTCTTTCTGGGTACAATTTGGGTATGCTCTATACAGACTTAGTATTTGTAGCTTAAGAGAGCAGGCAGAGAGGAAAACATACAGTGATGAAGTCCTGGGCCTTGGGATTCTTTCTTTATTTAACAAGAATCTATTGTATACCGACTGTATACAAAACACTTTAGCTTAACTGTTGTGGTTAGGTTAAAAAGCAAAAAGAGAATTCTTCAAAGGAGACAAAATGACCACCCAAAAGAGGTAAAAGGACAAGCAGGTAAGAGCAGAATCCCTAAAAGTAGAGGGTTTCAAGAGAGAAAGTAATTACCTGCAGCCAAAAGGTCAAAGAGGTCAGGAACTGAGATAGGCCTGGGGATTCAGTAGGACCCAGGAGGCCACATGGCCATGAGTGATACTCAGATAACATCAATGAAGCAAGAACCTCCTATGCCTATAATTAGTAAGTCTCAGAAAATAAGTCATCCTGCACTTTTCCCAAGAAACTAGAATACTATCAAGGAGATGTTTCTCATTGATTTTTTTTTAGGACTGCGTTTTTGGGAAGTGTTGGCATGTCATCCTCATTTGGCAACATTGCTGTTTGGAGTAAGCATCTTAGCTGATTAACCCATTGAGCTCATTAGCCTCTGGGGTCTGCTATAAAATCGCAACTGTTGGTGTTGTGTTTGTTTTTAGTAATTTTAATTGGTGTGCAAATCAGTTAGTAGCTAATTTGGCAATGAAGAACATGGGAAGTAGAGGTATAATTTCTGTTCTTAGCTCCCCCAGATAGACAAGTTTGAACTAATTGATGTTTTTGGTGTTTATAACATGTACTTAAAAGCCAAGGCCTTAGGTGAATTTCCCATTAAGAAAGAAAAGAAATGCATTTTCCCACCTGCATCACCAATGTAGTTTGCCCAGTCCCAAAGCACTCCAGGAACAAAGCCATTGTGGACTCCCGGTCAGACAAGACCAGCCGCTTGTCCTGCAGTACAAGGGATGCCTGGTTGTGGT